AAACTTGCTCGTTGATTGCCACGCCAAGATGCGGGTCATCTCTAACTTTGATCAAATCCACTCAGATGCAAACAAATTCATCATCACAGCCTCTTGTAGCAGCCATTTTTAACTGAGGTCTATTTATTAGCAGCTTAATGAGACTCACAGCTTATTCAGACAGCTATATATAGCTGTTTGATAGCGGCCTAATAGAAAATGTCTTATTCAGTAAGTTTCAGGGAGCTTGATGCAGAAAGTCAAGTTTCAATCAGAAAACATGCAACTTCCAACCATGAAACTCTACTAAGGGGGTATTTGAGATTGCTTGTTTAAAACAACTTATGATTCCTTATAAAAGTGTTTTTATCAACTTATGCGGTGTCAAACCAGAGCTTTATCCAATCTAACAGACAGATTAATCCATACAGCTTTGTCCATGCATACATCTTGATGAAAAAACCAACCAAACAACCCCTTAATTATGTCCAGGAATGCTGTTCATAGTTGGGTGTAAACCACATGGACCAAAATTGTAGTTTAAAAATGGGGTTGAGTTGAGAAATGTGAGGCTCATCTGTAAACAATCAAACAAGAGGATAAATCAACCATGGCTGCAAACATCCAGGTTGCAATGTGAAAAGAAAAAGAAGACCATCAGATCTTGTTTCTTTCACATTACCATCCAAGTTGCCCTGCCAAGATGCAGATAATCTCTTAACTTTGATCAAATCCACTCAGATGCATACAGATTCATCATCACAGCCTCTTGGAATCTGTTAGAGATAGCTCTGTTACAGACACTCATGTTTTTTTTTCTATCAAACGAACTGTTGGGACGAAAAGTGTTATTTTTAACAAACCTAAGGACAAAATATGCAAGGGTTGTTGATTTCTGGAGAAAATCATCGGCTACAAAGAATGATGTTTGACGAAATAGTCAAAATCAGACTTTGGTATGAACAGAGGGGGGCAACCACCCTTAGAAACCATCATCTTTATCCCCAATCAGCCTCATTTCTGTGAGTGGAATTGTTTACAGATTAATTCGGATTATATGCTCAGGTCTACAAAAGGATTCTTGAACACAGTATAAATCCTACTACCATTCCAAAAATCCTAGTAGGGTCGTTTAGTTTGGTATGAGGCTCAGATCTGCAAATATAAGAATCGGACAAAGGGGATCGGACTCCGCCAAAGCTGCAACATCATTCGGGTTGCCCTGCCAAGATACGTGCCGATTTTCACCCAGTGCCTAGAAACCTATGCTCGGAAATGTTAGATGCAGAATAATATCATCACAGCCTAGATAAGTTTTCCGATAACCATGGTGACGACCTCCGATATACCTCCGGAACGGAAAATAAAATCGAAAGCCGTATCATAAGCATCATCAACTGCCAGCCAGCCAGACAGCAAAAGATCAACGTTGTTAACCTTTTTATAGTTTTAAAATGAACTTCCCCCTATATATATATATATGTATGTATAATATAGAAACAATTGCCAATCGAGATAGGGATATATAGATAGAGAGAGAGAGAGAGAGCGAGAGAGAGAGCACAGATCTCGATTGACATTTTGTTTGCTACTGCTGCTCTGCAAAGGGATTTTTGGTCATTCACCATTGCGGAGTGAAGAAATGGGGGATGAAATCATCGACTCAACATGAACGGGTTCGATCATGTAGTGGCAAAAGAGGAGAAATCACCCTTGAGAAATCTCACCGTCCCTGTCGCCGGAGCCTCTTCCGAGCATATCTCCCCAATTTGAGCCACTGCACCCGTGCTGTTTGTATTTATATTGGGAAATGGGAAGTCTGTTTCCACTTTACCCAGTTTTCGTTACTATTTTCTAGCCTGGATTTAATGGGCTTTTCAGTATCTTCTAGAAGCCCAAACCACCATCATGGGCCCAACATTTCCACTTTCCAATTCAAATTGAATAAAATCATCAGTCACAGATCATTTCAAATCAGACTTCCGACACTTTTTGAACTTTGGTAGCCACAACAGGATTTTTCAACGTGGGACCTCCAAACCCTTTTGAACTTTGAAACCCAAATTCAAACCAATCAAACATGTGGTTTTCATCCAATATTGGAAGCAATCACCAACTCATTTAACAAGTTTTTGGATTTGAACGGAAGATCTTTAAGACAGTAATTGGAACCATAACTTCCAACTTTTTCGAAATGCTAATAATGTCTTAGAATTTCCTCTAATGAAGCCACCAAAGCTTTAAAATCGTCACATATATATCAATCAATAATATTTCTTTAAAATTTTGTAATTGTTTTATGTATTTAAATTGTAAATTAGATGTTAATAATTTAACTTTTTATAAAGGAAAAAAATTGCATAAATAAAAATACGAACAATTTTACTTTAGCAAAACAATTCATATTTTTAACACATAAATAAAACATATAATAAGGAATCCATTAACACAATAAAACTTGTTAAAAAATCGTATTTTAACACATAAACTTTGAAGACAAGGTTGTAGTTAATTTGTTTTTATCAAATCGGTTCATCATTTTTAGTGTTTTTATTTTGCTTTGTGATAGACTAAGGTGCCGTTTATCAAACGCACGCTTACTCGGGTAAGCACTTACCAAGTCACTTTACTTTATCGGATGAATATGACAAAGACTAAGAATCTTACCCAGTAAGTGAGGACGAGAACTCTCACCGTGGTTAACGCTTGCTAAGATAAATTGTTGCATACAATGCGTTTTAATGAATAAAATCCTACCCGGTAAATAAACGATAGTGTTGAATTTTACCGGAAAAATGTTTACCGAAAAAGTGTTTACCGGGTAAATGTTTAAGTAAACGGCCCCTAATTAATCATAAAAAATGTGTCGGACCTTAATTCTAGTTGATATAAAAGATTACGGAAACAGATCAGAATTTTAAATTTCATTTGGAAAAAAATCAATCAACTTAAAATAATCAAGTTGTTCGAAGAATAGCTGATTTCATTCTCCGAACCAAAAATCACTTAAAATCATAATAATCAAAACAAGACGTAAAATGTTTATCTTTTTTTTTATTAACCTGGATATTCAACCCGTTATGCAAGCCGACTAATCCCAGAACGACCATCTGCTTCGCAGATAGCCCGGAGTCACCGCATTTTGACCTCCGTAGCCACAAGGAATTTTTATTCCTCCTTGGATTTGAACCAGGGACCTTCCAGTACTTTTGACCTTTGGAACCAAGCTCAAACCAATCAAACACCACCCTTGTGGTTAAGACATAAAATGTTTAGAAAACGGTTTGAAAATATGAGGCTCAGATGTGTAAACAATGGAACAAAGACGGATAAATCCGCCATGGCTGCAAACTCACTGATTGATTGCCCCGCCAAGATGCGAATAATCTCTAACTTCGTTACAAATCCCACTCAGAGATGCATTCAGATTCATCATCACAGCCTCTTGGAGACCATCTCCATGCCAAAGTTCTTAGAATTCCATAGACCAAAGGGGGTCATTGGTCTAGCGGTACCGGATAACCTCTGTTTTCCAAAAGAGCAACGATTCAAATCTCAACAAAGGTGTGAGTGTGAATGTATATTTGCCGTTAATATAAATACCATATATTTGAGTTAACGGAGTTAAGTCGAGGAAACCTAATCCGTAACAAAAGTGAAACCACAATCCATAATTTTCATATAACCATAGAGACAAAATTTCTAGTTTGCTCTAAAAATAACGAACAAATCGTTGTTCTGTGAGAATTTGTGTATGAAAAGAGCAAACTGAAGGGTTGCTGATTTCTTGAGAAAATCATTGGTCACAATAGGATTTTTATTCCTCAACCTGAGACCTCCAAACACTTTCGACTTTTGAAGCCTAAATTCAAACTGAGACTTCCAAACACTTTTGACTTTTGAAGCCTAAATTCAAACTAATCGGACACCACGCATATGGTTTTCATCCAACATTTGAAACAATCACCAACTCATTTTAACATGTTTGATCTACCAAACAGTAATGGAAACTATAACTCCCCCAATTTTTTCAAAATGTTTTCAAAATGTTAATAACGTCTCGGAATTTCCTCCGATGAAGCCACCAAAGCTTTAAAATCGTCACATATATATCAATCAATAATTTATTTGTTTAAAATTTAGTAATTGTTTTATGTATTTAAATTGTAAATTAGATGTTAATATTTTAACTTTTTCATAAAGAATAAAAATTGCAGCGAAAATATGAACAATTTTGCTTCAAAAAAACAATTTATATTTTAAACACATAAATAAAACATATAATAAGGAATCCATTCACAAACATAAAACTTGATAAAAAATTGTATTTTAACAAATAAACTTTGAAAATAAGGTTGTAGTTAAATAATCTTACCCGATAAGTAAAGACGATAACTCTTACCATGGTTTAACACTTACTAAGATAAATTGTTGCATACGATGTGTTTTAATGAATAAAATTTTATCCGTTAAATAAGCGATAGTGTTGAATTTTACCGGTAAGTGCTTACCGGGTAAGTGTTTAGGTAAATGACCCCAAAGTAATCATAAAAAACGTGTCAAACTTTAATTCTTGTTAATACATAAATAAAATGAATTATCAATATTTCCAAAATAAAAAATAAAAAACAAATTATTCGAAAAGTATCTCAAAACATTATAATCCAAAAATCACAAGATTGGACAACGAGCATACCCAAAAGGGGGAAAAGGATTACAGAAACAGATCAGAATTTTAAATTTCATTGGAAAAAATCAATCAACTTAAAATAATCAAGTTGTTTGAAGAACAGCTGCTTTAATGCTTTGGACCAAAAATGGGTTGTTTGGCAATTGCTAAATGGTTTAATACGTAATGATTAAGTGGTCAAAATGATTAAGACTCTCATGATTAAGAGACTCATGATTAATGAATGGTTAAGGAAGATTGGGATACAAAGGCGGACTTTTTTTCTGCCAAACAAAATTCACCTCTTTAACGATTCAGAGGTTGTCTTTTAATGGAAGTATTAAGAGGTAAACAAACAACCCTAAAATCATAACAACAATCAAAACAAGACGTAAAATATTTAGAAAACGGTTTGAAAATACGAGGCTCAGATGTGTAAAAAATGGAACAAAGACGGATATATCCACCATGGCTGCAAACTTACTGATTGATTGCCCCGCCAAGATGCGAATAATCTCTAACTTTGTTACAATCCCACTCAGAGATGCATTCAGATTCATCATCACAGCCTCTTGGACCATCTCCATGCCAAAGTTCTTAGAATTCCATAGACCAAAGGGGCTCATTGGTCTAGCGGTACCGGATAACCTCTGATTTCCAAATGAGCAACAATTCAAATCTTAATAAAGGCGTGAGGGTGAATGAATATTTGCTGTTAATATAAATACCATATACTTAAGTTAACGGAGTTAAGTCGAGGAACCTAATCCGTAACAAAAGTGAAACCACAATCCATAATTTTCATATAACCATAGAGACGAAATTTGTAGTTTACTCTAAAAATAACGAATAAATCGTTGTTCGGTGTGAATGTGTACGAAAAGAGCATACCGAAGGGTTGTTGATTTCTTGAGAAAATCATTGGCCACAAAAGAAAGATACTTGACTAAATAAAGTCAAAATCAGACCATGGTATGAACAGAGGGGGGCAAACCACCCTTGCCCCTCTGAAATTGCCTCATTCCTCTGAGTGGATTGTTTACGTTACAAATCCAAATCTCTACTCTCTCAGAGAGTAATTGGGTTCTTTTGGTTTGGTTTTAGGGTTTTAGGCTCAGATCTGCAAATCTGGAATCCGTCAAAGGGATCAGACACCGCCATGGCTGCAAAACCATTTAGGTTGCCCCGCCAAGATACGGGCCAGAGTTTCACCCAATGCACAGAAACCGATGACCAGAAACGTAAGATACAGAAGAATATCATCAAGCTTCGATATTCTTTTGGTAACGATGCACCAATTGTGATTAAACCATAAGGGTGGTGATTGATTGGTTTGAGTGTGGCTCCAAAGGTCAAAAATGCCAGCAAGATCCAGGTTCAAATGCGGCAACTCCAGGCTACAGGTGTTCGCCCGGGATTAGTCGCCTAGCATACCAGGTTTAATATTCAGGTTAATAAAAAAAATAATCCTCGCAAAATCAAAGGGGATTAGGGTTTTCAAAAAACTGTGGTTACAGAAAGAAACATCCAACCACCATAATTTTCGATTAACTCTTCAATATGTAAGAAAAAGATTTTTAAAAAATGTGTAAATTGAGGTTCGATTTAAAAACGTGAGGCTCAGATTGTAAACGATCGAACAAAGAGGATGATTCCGCCATGGCTGCAAACTTCCTGGTTGCAATGTCGAAGAACTGAGACTAAGAAGTCTTCTTTCTTCCACATAACCATCCGGATTACCCTGCCAAGATGCGGATGATCTCTAACTTTGATCGGATCCACTCAGATGCAAACAAATTCATCATCACAGCCTCTTAGAATTCATCAAATCTGAAAATAGCAATTTTCAACAAAACATAAGGACGAAAATCGTAATTTACTCTAATAATAATAATAATAATAACAAGATCATCAACAAGTATGAAGCTGTTGATTTCTATGATTTGTGTGTATGGATAAAGCTTCCGAGCTGAAGGGTGGTTGATTTCGGGAAACAATCATCGGCCACAAAGAAGGACGTTTGACTAAATAAAATAAAAATCAGACTTTGGTATGAACAGAGGGGGGCAACCACCCTAGAAACCATCATCTTCATCCCCTCTGAAATTAGCCTCATGTTCTGAGTGGTGTTATCGAATTGTTTTCCTGAAGAAGACTTCGTAATTTGCACCGAGAGGCTCAGATCTGCAGATCAGGAATCCGACAAAGGGGATCAAACACCGCCATGGCTGCAGCACCATTCGGGTTGCCCCGCCAAGATACGGGCCGAGTTTCACCCAGTGCCGTAAACCTATGCTCGGAAAATGTTAAATGCAGAAGCCATCATAGCCTCGATATTTTTCTGGTAACGACCTCCGATTTTCTCCGGATCGGAAAACGAAAACAAAGAGATGAATCGAAAGCAGTACCAAATAAATAGAACAAATGGAAGCAGTTTGCGATTAATGAAGCATAGAAACCATAATTTCCCTTTTTGTTATAGAAAAAACATTGAAGCATATTTTGAATACAAATCTGAGAAAACGTTTAAGGACCAAATCCATAATTCAAATTTCCCATTTGGGTTATTCTTTCTGCCTTCGTTGTTCTTCAAGGGCTGTTGGTTATTGGCGAAGAATGGGGGAAGAAATCATCGGCTCAACATGACCTGATTCCGGATCCGGATCATGTAGTGGCAAGAGAAGGGCAACCACCCTACAGAAACCTCCCGTCTCTCTCGCCGGAGCCTCCATTTTTTCCGAGCAAACTTCCCCGAATTAACCTTCCGACTGTGCTATTTGTATTTATATACTATATAGTGGGATGTCTACTTTTCCTTTTGGGTTACCGAAGTTTTGTCCCTTGAGCCCAAAAGCCGATATGGGCCTGCCATGCTCGGTTCAAATTGAATGAAGTCATTAAAGTGTTTTAAAAAAAAATTGTAATAAAAAATCCAAGCTTTGTGACTTATTGTAGTATGACACTGGTAATAAATACTTTTTAAGTGTTTAAATAAACAACTTATACCGGTACCAAACTGGTAATAAAAAAATTTTGAACGAGTTAAATTCTTATGACTTATAATAAGTTGATAAGTGTTTTTGTACAAAAACATAAGCAATCTCAAACACCCAAAAATTTAAAATACTTTCAAAAGAGCAACTATTTAAAACTTCCATATTAATCTTATGGTTCTTAGAAAAATCATACAAAACCTTTAAAAACTTCCACGCTAAAGACCGCTAGGAATTTTCTTAGCTGTTCTTTAGAGACTCGGATTAATCAGGCTGCACGTAAACTGACACAAAAACTCATGGTTACCCCAAAAGTAAATAAATAAATAGAATTTTCTAATAAAAATACATGCAGAATGACCAAGATGCAGATGCCTTCCACTTTAAGTCCCAATGAAAATACCAAATGTTTTACCCAAGGTAAGCGCTTACCGGTAGGAGTCAACACTACAATCTATTTTACCAGATAAGATTGTAGTATATTAAAACGGTATCGTATGCAACAATTTACCTGGGTAAGAGTTCTCACCATCACTTACCGAGTAAGACTCTCTATCCCTATCATCACTCTTACCGGGTAAGATTTTCAACCATTGCCATATGCATCAAGTGAGGAAAGTTACCCGATCCACACTTACCGGGTAAGTATTTAGTAAACAACCCCTAAGAGGTCGTTTATCAAATGTCACTTGCTTTACTTTATATGACAACAGCCAAGAAGCATGCATAGCAAAAACCAATAACCTTACCCGATAAATGAACGAGAAGATTTTCACCTGTTGAATCAATAACAACATCCCTTTTGAAAACCAAGAATGTTTACCCGAAAAGATAAACGAGTGGTGACTTTAACCATCAACGCTCACCGAGTAATTATAAGTAAGTGTAAAATGGGGGTCGGTTGAAAAATATGAGCTCGTATCTATAAACAATCAAACAAAGAGGACAAATCCACCATGGCTGCAAACTTCCAGGTTATTTTTTTTTTTATTATTCAAATTGACTTGATTCAAAAAAGCTCATATGTAGTTTGTTCTTAAATCCTCAATGTGTAAGGACAAAGACAAGAAATTGAACCACAAAGCTGGCCTAATTGATTTAAGCTTGGCTCCAAAGGTCAAAAGTACCAGGAGGTCCCAGTTTAAAATCCAAGGAGTAATAAAAATCCCCTTGTGGCCACGGAGGTTCAAATACGGTGACTCCGGGCTATTTGCAAAGCAGGTGGTCGTCCTGGGATTAGTCGACTCGCATAACGGGTTGGATATCCAGGTTAATCAAAATTAAAAAGACAAGAAATTGCAAAATGGGGTTGGATGGAAAAATGAGAGGAAAAATCCGCCATGGCTGCAAACATACTTGCTTCTTAATTGCCCTGCCAAGATGCGAATCATCTCTCAACTATGATCCAATCCCACTCAGATGCATTCAAATGAAACAGTAAGGGCATGTTTGTTAGCAGCTTAATGAGCTTAATGGAATTCACAGCCTATTCCGTCAGTTATACATGACTGTTTGGTGATGGCTTAGCGATATAAAAAGTGGCTTAATCAAATTTGGAAGGAAAATGATAAAAGAATGGGTAAAATGGGGGTGAGTTGAAAAATGCGAGACTCAAATCTGTAAACAATGGAACAAAGAGGATAAATCGGCCATGGCTGCAAATGATTGCCCTGCCAATATGCAAATAATCTCTAACTTTGATTGAATCCACTCAGATGCTTTCAGATTAATCAACACAGCCTCTTAGATCGTCTTCATCAGACAAAAACAATCATCAATGGCGAAGCTTTTAGGATTCATGAAATCACAGAGACGTTATTTAAGGAGTGTTTGGTTTGGAGAGTGATTTTCATGAATTTATCCAATCTCATAATCAAGAGTATGATAGGAAAGTAGAACTTTTAAGAGTGGACACGAAGGGAGTAGTAACATCAACAGCAACAACGAAGAAACTGTCGATCTGTGTGTTTTTTTGGAGAAAATCATCGGCTACAAAGAAGGATGTTTGACCAAATAAAGTCAAAATCAGACTTTGGTATGAACATAGGTGGATAACCACCATTAAACCATCATCTTCATCCCCCTTATGTAACTGCCTCATGTTCTCTGAGTGGAAGTTGATTCCATTACAAATCCAAAATTTTCCCTTTCTAACAACTTCTTTGGATGAACGCAGAAATTGTAATTTCGGATGAGAGGCTCAGATCTGCAGATCTGGAATAAGACAAAGGGGATCAAACACCGCCATGGCTGCAACACCATTCGGGTTGCCCCGCCAAGATACGGTCCGAGTTTCACCCACTGCCCAGAACAACATGCTCGGAAAATGTTAAATGCAGAAGAGTATCATCACAGCCTCGATCGTTTTCTGGTAACAACCTCCGATTATCTCCAGATCGGAAAATAAAAACAAACAGATTAATCGGAAGCAGTACCAAAAACAAGAAGAAGTTCATCAGCAGCAGCAGCAGAAGCCATAAAAATAAATAAATAAATAAAATTGGAAGCAGTTTCTGATCGAAAGAGTGCCAGATTAAGCATATTGTTGATATCTGAGGCTGAATTAAAGCACAGAAACCATAGAGCATCTCCATAAATTTCGTAAACCACAGGGACCATAGATCCACTGTATTTCGAATTATGGCTTCAGTAAAAATAGAAACTGAAATATTACCCTTTTGGTTTCATCTTTCTGCCTGTTCTTCAAGGGCTGTTGTTGATTGATGGTGAAGAACTGGGGGGACGAAATCATCGGCTCAACATGACCCAATTTGTGATCATGTAGTGGCAAAAGAGGGGCAACAACCCTTGAGAAACCTCCCGTCTCTCTCGCTGGAGCCTCATCCATTTTTTCCGAGCATTTCTCCCCCAATTCACCTTCCGACTGTGCTCTTTCTATTTATAGTGGGAAGGCCATTTTCCGTTTGCCCATATTTTGTTGCTTATTTTAAAATATATTTTAGACAAATATATATATATATATATATATATACACATATATATATATATATACTAGTTGTATGTCCGCACAATGCAGCGGGATGTAACATTTCATTGTTTTTTAATATATGATGATGACTTCTCTCAAAAAATGGCTTGGAAGGCTAAAAACAAAAAAAATCACATTTTGGACACACGGCTAAAGATTGCCATGGATATTGCTTAAGGACTTCACAATCTTCGTACGATGTCTACAAACAAAAGCAATGGGATTCAAATATATAAATTTTCCAAAAGAAGCATTGTTTTTATTATCATCTACTCCATCAAACTAAGGGGACTAAATTTAAAACCAAATTATTATAAGAATAGCTATCAAAATGAAAGGATTATTCTCTTCTTTTTTTAGGCAACTGTTGGTATATGAGCCAACTTTGTGCAAGGTTTAATCTTTCGGGCAACCATAAATGGCATGATGTCATCACAGGCAAACAACAATGACAACATGGGTTTTAACAGTACCTAGTTCGGAGTCATGGAAGAAGAGATTCAATACACCCACATGAGCGTTTTTTATGTATAGTGCTAAAACCATACATTAGTATCAAGACTGGTTTAGAGGAATGAAAATTTTAAAACAACTCTGTAATGTTCTAAGTAGTAGCATTTTTGAAAAAGCCTTGTATCGGCATTGGCAAACAAGAACAAGACATAATTTACGAACAATATAGCTTACAAACAAAATATTTAGAAAACAATGCATAAGAAATATTGATAAATACTTTCTAAGGTTGCTAACATATTGCAGTCTTCGAAGTTGACACTTCCACAACTTGCATTAACACATTAAAGAATATTACAAAAATCCATCTTTGTAGCTTTTCAAACATACGACATTAGATAAACCACTCACTCGTAAAGACAAGAAAACTCAAGGCTGCAACAAGCTTCTATTGCATATAGAAGTTGTGATAATCCATCAAGAATACGAGGAACTTCTCACATAAAACCTAAAATAGCAGCAATAAAAGACCGTGATGGTCGGTTAACAGATGAACAAACTTGCAAACAAAAAAGTTTTATCAAAATCATATTTAACCTATGTAAAATCATCAAAACTAAGAGAATTCATCATTGTAAATCCAAGTCACTCATCAAAACTTCTAATTGAATAACTAATTTTCCATTTTGATCATCTTCCAAAGTTCTAGTTCTAACAAATTTGTTGTATGTTGGAAAGAAAGCAGGAACACGTGTAAACAAATGTTCTGGTTTGATCATCAGAGGACAATGTAGTATTTGCAGTCATTCCGTTGAGCTACATATGTTTTAGTTTGGTGATTTGCTGCTTCTATTGGGTAGCGTTTCTTCATTGGTGGTTGTAGGCCCTTGTTTATGCTAACAATATTAAACAATGAAATATAGCATATCCAAAGACCAATCACACTTCCAAGAATTTAGGGAAAGTCATGGCTTCATCTCTCTCTCTCTATATATATTTATATATATGATATATATATATATATATATTGTGTGTGTATGTATTAAGGGGCCGTTTATCTAATGCTTACTCAGGTAAGTGCATATCAAGTCACATTCCCTTACCGGATGAATATGGCAAGGACCAAAAGAGCGAAAGACAAGGATCGAGAGTCTTACCTAGTAAGTAATGACGACGACTCTTACCGTGTATAACGCTTAAGGGTGAATTATTGCATATGATGTCGTTTTTGTAGACTAAAATCTTACCCGGCAAGTAAGCGATCGATTTGAATTTTACCGCTAAGCGCTTACCGGGTAAGTGTTTAGGTAAACAGCCCTAAGTTAGTTTAACAATATGGTTATTGTTCTTAATGAGCTAGGTAATTTATGAAGCAGGTGCAAATATGACAATTTTCCAGCTAAACACTCATTATATGCAARCAGAAAAAYAGCTAAACCTGATTGTATGTTTGAACATGATCCCTCCAAAGAGAACTTGTCTTCAGAACATCTCTTAGGGTTGTTATGACCTCAAATGGTGTTGCCTCTATGACATCATCATCTTTGTTAAACGTTGAATCCTGTAATACAGAGAAAATCCTTATACAAGCACTGTTTTATCAAAGAGTATGGTATTAATAAAAGTAGATTCCATCCTAGTTCCTATATATTGCATCTCTAAGGTGCTGTTTACCAAATGCTTACCCGAGTAAGCACTTATCAAGTCACTTTACTTTACCGGATGAATATGGCAAGGACTAAGAATCTTACCCGATAAGAGCCAGGGCAAGAATCGAGAGTCTTACCTCGTAAGTGATGATGACGACTCTTACCATGGTTAGGGCTTACCGGGATAAATTGTTGCATACGATGCGTTTTAGTGAATAAAATCTTACCCAGTAAGTAAACAATTGTATTGAATTTTATTGATAAGTGCTTACCGGGTAAGTGTTTAGGTAAACGACCCCTAAATCTTTTAGGATATGAGTGGATGATACCTTAGGATGATCCATGTGGACCGTAAGGGGATCGTCATTGACCTGTCCAGAGAAATAAATAATCAAAATGAGGTAAACTATAGCATCACATAGAGTGCTAGTACGCAATTAACTAGCAGAAAAATAGAAATGAAGCCTCCACTCACCATTTCTGTTATCCGTAACCGCCTATGACCGATAAGACCAACCCAGTCTCCTTGGATACTTGTAATCTTCTTAAAAGGATTAAAAGTTGATTACATGTAGTACAAAATATATAGAAGCTCAACAAGTTTACCACAATTACTTAACAGTTGCATCACAACAGATACCTGAGCCCGTGTACCAACTTCATGGAGACGATTAAACAACTATTTGCCCTTGAGCTCATACATGCTTTTCTCTGTATCTGAACCTATGGCCTCAGATCCTGGGTCATCTGTTACAAGAAAAGCACCAGCATAAGGATCCTGTCGTTTATAAAGTAGTATAAATATAGATAAATTGTACCAATGGTTACAATAAGTCACATTAAAAGCACCCAATATGGAAAAATGAAGAAATGAGATCACTACAATTTCACTTACTGTGTTTATAGAAAATCCATCCATCACCAAGTTCCATCTCCATTATCTCAATAAACTCCTCACCTGCTATTATAATTTCACTTAGAAGAGAATAGAAGAGTGGTCTAAACTAATTTTGTTAATATTAAAGAAAATATTGTATATTTAAAAAAAACGTTTATTATACCTTTTTAATATGAGCAAGAGTATCACCATCCAGTGTGAGTAATCCATTGGTTTAGATAAGTTTTCCTCATTCTTAGTTCTTCATTTTGTGTGTCCAAATTGATCTCAGATCAAGTAAATAGAAAAATTTATTTGTTTTTTGATTACCATCACATAATGAAAATGAGCCCACAAAATAAGAAAGTTCAATAACGAAAATCGTTAGTAATGCAAAACATGAAATGTACCTTGAACCCAAGTTTCATGGGCCTTCTTATTTCCTTCATCTCCCATAGCAAACTTAAATCCACAAGTATGACAAGTGCGTAACAAAAACACATCTTGACCCAAATCCAAGTGTAGCTATACATACTTCCTTTTTCTTGTTTAAAACTTTTTTTGATTTCGCTACCACCAATGGTTCTGTCTCGAATGAAGATTCTTTGGATGTTTTCCATAAACCATCTATCTTCAACCTGCGAATCAGAAAAAAAAAAAACAGAAGTATAACTTACTACCTGCATCATATGACGTTGCTACAACACCTTCCATCATTTTAACCGAGAAGAACTACAAATTTTAGCATAAAGAGAACCCATATAAGTTAAACACCTAATGAAAGATGAACAAAATGGTGACGTTTCACTCACAAAAGAGAACCCAAATTTCTCTAGCACATTTTATCAAACACCTTATTTGAATAAAAAATATACACGAACAAACTTTTATCCCTCGACATTCATGTTGATGAATTCACTTTAGGTGCCGGTCTATGTTGATTTCCAACATCTATCACAAAGGTTCTTGCTCATATTGCATTTCATCGATTAAACATGTAAATGCAAAACAAAACAAAAATGAGAAGTGATGGAAGAATCGAATCAGGAGATGGATATGAAAGCAAGATTGAAATTGTTGGAAAACAAAAATAAATTATAAATTACCTGGATGGAGGAGCGATGAAGGACTGAGGAATCTTTGAATCGATGTACACACATAAGTGGATTGATAGTGAACCCTAACCATTTTCATAATCATAGTTTGAATCGATTACCTGGATCGAGGAGGGATGCAATGAACCCTAACCATTTAAATAATCAGAGTTTGAATCGATTACCTGGATCGAGGAGCGATGGAAGGATCGAGGAGCGATGGAGAGTATGGAAATCGATTTTCTAAACGGCCGCTTCGGGAATCGTCGCTTTGGGGAGCGCAATCTGAACGAAGCAGGAGGCCTGTCTTGGAAGATTAAGATGTTGCCGCTTTGGAATAGTCGCTTTAAGAGTAGTGTTGCTATTGTGTATTAAGATGTTGTACTATATGCTGATTGTATTGTAATTAAAACTTTAAGACTTTATGCATTATAAGATAGTACCTTATGCATCAAATATTGTTTTTAAGACTTTTGGTAAATATGCTTTATAAGATAGTATAGATATAGATATATATATATATATACACCTAAAAAAAAGGGGGTAAGAGGGAAATAAATTCCCCTTAAAAAGTTTTATATTAATTTAAGAGTAAAGGGCCGTTTATCAAACACTTACCCTGTATGTAAGTATTTACCAATAAAATTTAACACTAGTATATACTTAACGGGTAAGATTTTAGACCACCAAAATAATTTCGTATGCAACAATTTATCCTGTAAGCGCTTACTGTGGTAAGAGTCGTCGCCCTTACTTACCGGGTAAGACTCTTGGTCCTTGTTTCGCTCTTACCAGATAAGATTCTTGG